ATAGTGTAAAATGTGTTCAATAAAGGATGCAGATTGTGTCGCGACAAAAAGGGCGGAGCTATCTGGGGGGGGGGGCATGTAATGCAGATGTAGTACGGTGTAGTGTATGCAGAAAATGTGTGGCGCAAAACTTCTGAAAAGAGCCACTTTAAACAAAATTTATAAGTAACCTCAGCCTCTAGGGTATGGTAGGGTATTTCTCATGATTTTTTTTCCTGCTTGTTCACTACTGAATCACTTGCTACCTTGTTATTACTATCTGAACCGCATGACTCAGCGTTTTCAATGCAGGCTCAGCCTTTAACACGTTGACGACGAGCCGTTTTTTTCATGAATTGCCCGTGGGACGGCACATTTTTCTTCGTAGAAACTTAGTAATTTTTGAATAAATGAATGGCTACGGTCAAAGTGTTTCAAGAAATGCAAAAGGTGAGAATACGAATCTCGATCTTCGACACAATTTAGCTTTTATTGCTCCAGTCTTCCGAAATCAGTCCAGTTTTTACCAAGTTTTTCTCTGGAAGCAAATTTGGCTGAAAATTTGTCTCCTGGGGTAGTTTGACCTTCTGAAGACGAATATTACATCCCCTTGGCCCAAAACTGCTTGGCGCGCGCAATAGGCGCTACGTTGACGACAGTTTGCTGGCAGATCGACGGCTAGGAAGCTGGCTAAGAAGACCAAGTCAAAATGCAGTCTGTGTAACAAATTCTGCTGTTTAGATTGTTTCCAAAAATCTCATAGTTGTTGATTAATTGCATAAGTATTATTGTGTTGCGTGAATGTATTATTGCAAAGTGAACTATAATTATTGAAGGTAAAAATGAAGGACAAGCCTTAAAATGCTGTTCATATTTGTTGATGTCAATATAAAATAGTTTTTGATCGTCGCCAGGCGAGCTGGGATCGCCAAGGGGTCGCATTGGGCATCCAACCGTTTTTCATCGCTTTGCAGTTAATTATACCTTGTCTTTCGTGTTTGACTTCCATTATCTATCTTCGCCGGTTCTTGCCTTTAAATACATGGTGTGGGTTTTCATTCGTCGACTATTGAGGTGTACTCAAAATTCCTGTCCAGGGAAGTCTGCCAACGCCAGCTTTCCACCAAGCCTCCACCCTACTGCACCATTACAAACTTTACCTGCTCATAAGTTGCTTGTGAAATGCAGGTTGCAGTTTTGCTATCTATATTTGTAAATAACCTTATAGACTCTATCGATCTACCCAGGTCTCCATTCAAAGTTCCATGATAAGTTGGTGCACTTCCGTGGTGAGATGAGGTGTAGGCGTGGCTGCGTACTTTAATTCAAAGTGGCCGTGGCTAAACTTTTCATGAGATATTTTGATTTTGGAACAGTTGTAATCATGTCACTGTTCAGCACAGAACAAGATGACATTGTCTCGAATTAAAATATCAAACGATTAAGCCCCCTATGCCATGTTCAAATGTCACGCCAAATCCGTCAAGGTGATCAAGTCTGTGCCTGAATACTGCACGAACCGGCCACGTCCAGCAACATATTTGAGGCCGGTTTGATGTGAGAGGAGAAAAATATTGAATTTCCACAATTGAGCATGTGCGGCCCCAAATACACCTTCATAATTATGAGCGGAAATCGGTTACGCGGCGCATTTGAAATAAGTTACTATTGGACATATTACCTGCATTTTCTGTCTCCAAAGTTCATAAATCAAGTCGATCATTGAGTGGTGATACAGGAACACGACATCGTTTGATGACGAATGAGATTTCCCCATGTCACCTCCTGAATTCGGGAGCCTTAGATTCAGACCTAGGTGAAGACTACACCTCCCACAGCAATCATACCGATGTAGAAATGTACGTAGTCGTGCGAATACTCGAGCATCCTCGCGTCCAGCGTTAACTCGATCGGGCAAGTCTGAACAGTCTCAGTCTTCGCGTTCTACTTATAAGACAGAAGTAACCAACAGGACACATCATCGTTGGGGATTCCCCAGGAAGAGGGTCTTATTTGCTCGTTTTTGGGAGAGGGAGGGAGGTGTATCCTCCTTGTAAGAGAAATTTGCGGCGTAATGAAAAATCTTTCCTGGTTGCTGACTTTTCGGTATTCCTTTTGCAGGTGTGCTATTATATAACATCCCGCTCGACAGCTCGATCGTATCAGAGGAGGGAACCAAAGGCGGAGGGCCCTACCATGCCACCCTAAAAGCTCCACAGGGGAGGAGTCGCCCGGGCACTCGACCAAAATTCCCAATCAGTGATGTGCCCTGGTTACCAATCGAAAGAAGCCCGATAAAACCCAACCGTGAGTGGCATTGTTATCCCAAGCACCATATTGATGTTGGGATTGTTCACAATCCAATCAACACGAGCGTTATTCAACAGCTCACCACCATCACTCGATCCGACCTCGCGATAAATACTAGCACGTCCCTGAAATAGGAGGGCGAAAAAATAGGAGACCAGGGATAAACTTGCATGCAAGCTAACCTCCATTGTGGTCCAGTTTGCGTAAGGCCCTGTTACCACGAAACCGTCGTCGTTCGTCTCGCCCAGGAAAATATTGGAGAACATGATAGAGTCCGAGGGTTCGGGCAGCTCAGCGTCAAGGGTACTGTCCCAGTAGGGAACTCCCATATTGGGATCAGGAAGGTAGTGGCGAATTATAAGCTCAAACCTGAAAGCTGCTACTAAGGGGCAACAACTCATTCAACAAATATTAGATAAGGACCTAAATACAAACCTCTTCAGATATTCCCGATGCCAAAGGGTGAATGCGGGTCCTGAATGGACTCCCGAATATTTGTGGACCCGGGCGATTCTGTTGTACAGACCACTCACTTTCATCCAGTTGAGGGCATTCTTCAAAGCAGCTGTCTTTGTACAGTCGTAATACTTGAACGAATTTACCTCAAACTGTTTCCTTTTCTTGTCATCCAAAGTCCGAATTTCCTGACGATGGGCCTTTCCCAAAATTCTGCCATCAGACAGCTGACTTACTTGATCTCTTGATCTACATAGTCCAGCTAGGAAATTTGATTTTTTTTTCATTTTTCCCCCTCAAATCCACCTAGTCGAATGGGGTAGCCGGCTATATCCTTCTATCTATAAAGCATTGTAACTTTGTGTGTCAGTTTGTACCATGTTTTAGTATGTGATGTCTGTCGTACCGCAAAATTGCTTCACGGGCTTCGAGTTCGCTTGGAGGCGAAACGACCGCTAGGCCCAAGAACAGGTGGCAAATTCGGTGCGGAAGTATCAATCCAATGTTTTGATCGTGATATCGGCCTCCGCTATATAAGACAACCATTCGGTACACTCCGAGCCATTGCACGAGCTGCTGGCGTGGCAGCTGGACGTGTGCTCGTGCGGGGGCAGGGTGGGGTGGGGCCGAGAGAGGGGGGGGGCACTGGGCGCCCCCCCCCCTCTGCTTCTTCAGCCTTGGGCGTGCTCAGCCCGCATCTGAGCATGACGCAAGAGATAGGAAGAGAGGGGGCGGCCCTCTCGGCCCCACCCGACCCTGCCCCCGCACGAGCACACGTCCAGCTGCCAGGAACACTGGGGCGTTTTTTCAAGGTATGATATAGGTTGTGGCACAGGAATATGTCGGTGACAAGAACTGCTAGCCGCTAATAAAGGGAGTTAGAATGGAAAGGACAACATACTCATAACGCGGTACACAGCATCAGTTAGGCGTTGATTTCAGCAAATGATATCAAGGGGAAGGTGGAGAATGCGACGGCGGGTGGCAAGAAATGATAACAGCTGATAGGGCCTGATAGAGAACGATGCAGTTGTTGTTCAATCAAACGCTGAAGCCTCTACACCACGAAATTATGGAGTTTTAGTGATAGCGACATTGATGACGAGTGACAAGCAATTTTATCAATTGATAAGTAAAGATAAGGGGACATTTCCACGACATCTGCTGACCACACTGCTCAAAAAACCCCTCAGTTAGCGAAATTTTCCTGCCACAGCCATCATCGCTGTACTCATCCCACTAGGGGGGGGGGGGAGGGGGGGTATATACTTCGCCTGAAACAGGAAGTTTGGAGAAATCAAAAACTCCAATATTGGAACACACTTTATGCGTTCAGTGAGTACTTAAATATTTTTTTTTGCTTTTCAACATCAAATCACTGATGAGAACGAATTAACGAAGTAGTTGTAAGCAATATTCACCATCGACAACGCTGCCTAAATATTGTCATCTGCAGCCATTCATGCAACCCTAGCAGGTGGATTGCATGTTAATGACAAGTTAATCGCCCATCGTTGGTATGATGCATGTAAATAAAAACGGAATTTGTTCATCTACTGTGCAACATATATTGATATTCTGTACTTCCTATCTATTTCTGAGATCTACGTATAGAATGGGCGTTATGGCCGAAACCAGCACGCCTTCCGCAACTCTGAGAGGTGCAGATTTCGCTAGGTTACTCGTTTATTATGATTCGACCACTACCGCGCAATATGAGCAGCTCAGACAATTAGCTAATTCCATCCCGTTATGATGTGAGCCTGGCGAAGCCAGGCCAGCTCGGCGAAGCCGAGCTAAACAGAA